TACTATAAGAACAATTAAAATATATATACCCTAATCAAGGTAACCAAAATAATATACACTTCCAACTACAACTAATTTAAAGGAAGGTTGCGATAGGCTTTTTTAAGTAAATCTACTCTTCAATCCCTCAAAAATTTCTTATTAAAAATTCCTATATATATTTTAATCTAAAAATTGCTAAAAATAGTTTTAGAGAGTAGTTTTTTATTCACTTATATGCAAAATGATAACATCACATTTAGATCCATGTCGAATTTAATAAAGAATATCTATATTATAATTAAAATATATAATTAATAATAATATTTAAATAAAAGATTACAATATAAATTATTTATTAAAAATTTAAATATATTTCAAATAAAATTGCAATATTTGTTTTTTTTATTGAATAGTAAATTATACAATACTTTATAAAAAATATGTATCTAATTCAAATACACTTTAAATAAGGTGGCAATAGTGACAGTTACCATTAAAAAATAAAAATCACCATATAACTGTTATCATTTGCATTTAAAAAAAAAACTCAAAAAATAATAATTTAATTTGCTTTATATTATATTCATCAAAAATAATTATTATCATGTGGCTTTTTTTTCACGCGGAAATAAATCTTAAAACTCTGCTTTTTATTTTAAAACGTTCAAATAACTGTTATTTTTGCGTTTTAAGTATAAAAATCAAGAATAACTCTTATTTTTGAAAACATAATATAACTCACACTGGCCTGCCGAATATTATTAAAAACTAAAATATAAAATACATTTTTCATACAATGTAGTTTTTTTTTTAAGTGTTCGTTGTCTCTGTATGTTAATAAACGAGTCCATGATTTAAATTTGACAGGATTCAATTTCTAATTATATAAGTAATTAAATCAACTGATGTTTCCAATAGAGACAAAATTTATTCCATTTATATTCATTATGGTATTAAAATAGGTCATACTTGAGTTCCAATCATTTTGGGACTGCAATTCTCATAAATCTATCTATCTATTGCTATTGCTATTATTTTTTTGTTACATAGAATTGGTTTTAAAATCATTAAAAAAATGTGACAAATTTATTCATAACTAATGTACAAAAAAAAATTTTAAAAATAACAAATGACGTTAAAAATAATAATACATATATTATAAAATAAATTGTATATATTACATAAAATAAAATAATAACAATAATATATCTCAAATTATTTTTAATATTTAAATTGCAATTTTATTAGTTAATTAACAAAGAAAATATAAATTACAAAATGATATTTATCTGTAATTGATTGATAGATAGGTTTAAGCTGAGTGTCACCAAAGTACTTTCATCAAAATGGTTCCATTGTCCAACTCGATGTCCCGTTTTGGTTACTACTGGTTTAGTAATGGAATGGAATTTTCTTACTATGATTGAACGTCTTAATACGTAAAATAAGTTTATCTTTATTGATGTTTTAATAACTAACTATTCTTATTTTTTTTTCGATGTTATTACAATTTTTTTTTTATTTTCCATTATCATGTTGTGAAACCTCTCGAGTATACCATATTTATTCCGTTTAAAAGTCGTGTAAATGGGGGATTATTTCTTTGGAGCCACTTTTTTAGAATGTATTTAAAATAAAAATTTGCAGTAGTTAAATAAAAAATATAGATAAAAATATGTTTTAATAAATAAAAATAAAAACAAAAATTTTGAAAAATATTTCTTAAGAACCAACTATATACTTTATCAAGTTTAGTCTATATATTATAAGTAAATATATTTTGATTATTTAATGTATCCAGTTCAAAATATTTTTAATAAATTAATACTGTTTAGTGGATTAGGGAAAAGATTGGGATATTTATATAAAGAAAGGTAAAAAACAAAAAAAAATTACAAATTATATAGTTGCTTTCATAAAATGTAATGTAAAATCAATTAATTATTAATTATTATTACACAGTTTACACAGTAGATGGTCTACGAAATAGACTGACAAATCTGTAATGTAACTAATTTTCTAAAATAAATTAAAA